AATAGGTCAACCTTTCTGTACCAAGCAGAAGAAAATATCAACCAAACACGAATCCACCTTGCTGAGATTGACAAAAATCAAACATAATAGGTCGACCTCACAGTAAATAGGTCAACCTATTTTTGCAACCAGAAACACTAGTAGACACCCAGAAAACCTAATTTTTGTCAAATCAAATCGAGAGCTGCAAATCATAATCCGAATTCAAACAGAGTCGGTCGACCACGAAAGGAAGCGGCCGACCGATTATGGCAAACATCAACCAGAAATCCGATTTTACAGATTTTGGGGGTTTGAAACCAAATCGAGAGTTACACTTCATAATCTGAATCCATACGGAGCCAGTCGACCAGGAAAGGAAGCGGCCGACCAATTCTGTCGAACAGAAGCCAGAAATCTTATTTTTCATATTTTGGGGGATTTCAAATCAAATTGATAGTTACAAATGGCAACCGGGCGGGTTGAGTGATTTTGGGTTGGGGATTACGGTTACGGGTGGGGTATGTAGGGTTGGCTGATTTCAGGTTAAATCTTGATCCAACATATTCGGTTTCGGGTCGTGTTATGAGCGCTCTCAGAAACAGTATCAAACATGCTTCATATTTCTTAAAGAACACAAATTTTTACATATATATGACAATAGTTTACCTAACACATGTCAATTAACATATTCTCAAATCCTCCCATGCTAATGAAATGAAATAGAAATTTCGCAAATCGTCATAAAACAATCACAAGAGTAATGCTACTACAAGAAACTCATGATATTTGATTATCCTTAAACTCCAAACCAGTTGACCCGACCCAAATCCTCCCGAAAAGTGGAAGTTTTTATAACCAGAAACCCGAATGACCAGAACGTGATAATCCGCGATTTTTTAGGTCGGGTTGGGTGGGTTAGCGGGTCGAACGTTAGACCCATTTTATTATATATATCACTTCCAAAATGATAAAACCACTCATAAATTGGTGAGATATTTTAAAAAATTCACATGGATTTGAATGACATATGTTTCGAGCTTAAGGATAATCAAATATCATGTGTTTCTTGTAATAACATTACTCTTGTGATTGTTTTTTGACGATTTGTGTAATTTGTATTTCAGTTAATTAGCATGGGAAGATTTGAGAATATGATAATGGACATGTGTTAGGTAAAATGTTGTCATGCATTAGTGAAAATTTGTGTGCTTGAAGAAAATATGAAGCATGTTTGATATTGTTTCTGAGAACGCTAATAACCCGAAACGACCTGTAACCCGACCTGAAAACCGAATAGGTTGGGTCAACATTTGACCCGAAATTAGCCTAGCAAACACGACCTGACCCGTAACCGAAAGTCTCGACCCGAAATTACCCAACCCGACCTGATTGTCAGGTATAATCCAAACAGAGCTGGTCGACCAGGAAAGGAAGCGGTCGACCTAATCTGTCGAACAACGGCCAAAATTTGCAGGTGCAGTGGTATCCATTTCATCTCTTGATAACTCAATTGCCCACTGAGTAAGGTCGTCCAACGGCTTAGAGACATGATTAAAAGCAGCTTCACTACCACACACGATGTCACAAAACGCTTACACTTTAGTGACAATCCCTCATGTCTTATCAGTCGGCCGACTTTCTCTGTCACATCACCTCCAACTCCAGGATTACGAGATAGTGTCTTTGCCTTTTGGGAAGATCGAAGTTTGAACCATGTAGAGGGTAGTGCTATAAATCCCTTATTTTTTTATGACTGTAAGCATATGTCGGCATGGAAATCCCTTATATTCAAACAATGCACACTCACATTTTAAATGTTGATTGGTCGTAGTAAATGTTAACCTCCTCCGATTTGGGTCCATGCAGTTCTTCAGAAAGAATTTCTCTATCCCATCTGCTTCAATTCATCTCTCTGCTAACACATAAGAATCTTCGTTCTCTAGTTCAGACTTGAAGATAGCGAATGTAATATGTGTGTAGATACTTTCAACTTGCATTTCCCACGTGCGAATGGCATGCTTGCAAACTAACCTCGTGTGCCTAGAAGAATAATCATCGCGCATCTCCGTGTAAAGCATCCCCTCCAGTGCTTCATCAATGCCCTGAACAAAATGTTGCAAGCTGTATTGAGTTCCAACATACCCATTTATCCAATGGTTACATGACTCACGTCGCGATATTGATTGGAGGCCACCAAAATAAATATCCCTCAAGTATTCCTCTGCCCAAAGTGATTTGTTTGCGTACAAATCCTGCAACCACTTATTTGCAGACAAACCATGTCCAATTATCAAACGCTCTCGGCGGCTCTCAAACTCCTCAATTGATATACGTACTTTCGCCAAGTGGGTGAATGCGCTAACAAACTATCTATTACAAAAATTTGTGGTTGCATTTGTCTCAATATGCTAAATACACAGACGATGAGGCACTCCAGCCAGTACAGTGATCACTGAAGTTGGCATTTTATAGTTCATACACTCCAGAAAAGTTTTCAACATCCAAACATAGTTGGAGATTATCTCATTATCCAACTAGAAAAAATCATATATGATGTTGCGGTGATGGTGATTTACTACACTTATCATCATAACAAATGGCCGATTGTACTTTTTGCGCTTGTAGCATGCATAAAATGCCAAGACATCCCCACAAAATGGTAATCCGCTCTAGATGTGGAGTCCGACCAAAAGAGATTGCTTAATTCACCTTCATCGTTGACTATGTACTTGAAGAAGCTGCCTCTATCATAAGTATTTTTACTCTGCAAGTAACCCAATATTTGGTTTACATCTCCTATTAGATCTTCGTCATCATTTCGAAATTTTTCAACAATGGTATCCAAATCGTTTGGAGTGTACCCTAAATTCTCATATCCTCCAACTTTATTATTCATGAACTGAATAATGTTGTGTTGTTTTATTCATGACTGTCACATCCCTATCACCAATGTCTTGTCTCCTTCACTCACATTTTGATTACACCGAAGAAATTGAGTTTCTTCTTCATTGCAGCAAGAATGTGAGTGCTTCCTCTCGAACTTAAAAATATCCCACATTTTCTTCCCCCGATCAAAGCGCACATTATAGGATGCCTTGCAAGAATGTCTTGTCATCTTATGATGTTGCCGTGTCCGACCTTCTTTATCTATATGCCGCTTCTGAATAATTCTCTCTCTTGAATATACCATTTTCCTCCAAGTAACTACTCATCGACGATTCCTTTGAAGATCTCTACGTCGAACGCTAAACCCTTTCGCTTTAGAATATGCATGATAAACTTTTTGTGCATCTTATAATGTTTGAAACTCCATGGAAGGAATTTTTAGTTCATATTCACTAGTTTCTTCATCATCCATAAATTCTTATTCAACACTCTTAGTTTGCTCATCGTCCTCAAACTCTTCATCATTTGTATATCTATATCATATTCATTATCCATAGTTTCTCTTCGAGCATCCTCAGTTTTCTCATCGACGTTAACCTCTTCAACATCTCTATCGTCTATATCATCTCTATTATCCATCTTGGAATCATCGAAATAAGAATTGTGTCAATATGGAAAATAAATTTTTGGAACTAAATTGAAATTTAGGTCTTGTCAGGTCGACCATATCAAAGAGTAAGGTCGACTGACCATATTACAGAATAACACAAATTCGGTCTACCGTGAGAGTGGACAAGGTCGACCATATTATAAACAGACTAAGAGCAGTCGACCACGGTGCACGTGACTCGCACAATATGGTCGATCTCTTTCAGTACAAGGTCGACCGATATTTCATGATTAGTTAAGCATAAACGATATTTGGCCGATACTGAAAACATACCTTAGCAAATAAGGTCGGTCACTTAGGTATAAGGTTGATTGGAGTAAGAACTGGAGTACGCCAACATACCTTAGCAAACATACCTTGCATAAATCGGATTATGATGAAAGTCTTAAGGCTTCATCTATTTATAGAGAATATAGACGACGTCCTTATCCTTACTAGTATACGGAACATTTATCCCAAGTAAAGGATACACAAAATTCTAATTCGACAAGGAAAAGTACACAAAATTCAGGCACATATAGGTCGACCTTTTTATGGTCATGGTCGACCGTTTTTGTTAGAGGAGATAATCACCATAACTGAATCCTTATTCGATATCATTTAGGACCTAACTAAAATTATCATAGATCGACTGTAAGCAGATGTGGTCGACCTATGCTTTGCCTACGAGATCGACCTTTTTGTTTCTTTGGTCAACCGATTTGAGTAAACGATTCATACTCTAAATTCCTTAGAATCCATCATTATATAACTAATCAAATAAACGAAAAACATTGAATATTCGAAAGAAAACAACCTCGCAAATCAAAATTTAACTTATTGTCTAAAAAATGTAACATTGTAACTTAATGATAACATTTCTTTGTTTTTTTTTTTTATTTGAACTCTTTCTCTCTTTGCCTCGTTCCACAATTTCATCTATGACATGCTTGAAAAGATTTTCTCGTGTATGGTTTCCCAAATAAGTAGTCACATACCATAGGATCTCCTTTCGAGCCGGTAATTTGTGTTCTTCTCTTATCAGCATTATGTCATATAACACTTCATTAGAACAAAAAAAGCAAATTTAAGCAAGTTTTTCGGTTGCCGAATTGAAAATATCATGCAATTTGGACAGCTACACACAAACAACGAATATTATATGCTTTTAGCAATATACGTGACACTTAGTAGTTAAAAATTATAGGAAACACTTATCATTTCTTATAGTTGTTTGATTACGCTTACGACCAGCCTCACTAGTTGCTGGTAGACTGTCAAGCAAAGATGCAGTTTGTGCTGGACATTGACGAGATATGAAAACCAATAACGTGTGTCATCGACCAAAACTGGCATAAATATCTAGTAAAGAAAAAGTATGTTATCAAATAAGAATACAAACAAATGCACTTTGAAAGCTTAATGAGAGAGGGACATTGGTATAATATTAATAACTAGGTTATGACAAATAAATAAAAATTATGCCTCTTACCGAAAACATATTTGGCAAATACCACATTTGGATCTTTATTCTCATGTTTTTCACATATTGTTAGTGCCTTTGCACACAAATTCACTACCTACAAACCAACAATCAACCACAAAATTCTCGTAAATCATAACAAAAATAATGCACAATCCATACCAAAGTCGTAGCAGTATAGTACTTGTGGATGAGCAAATCCAGCTACTCTCGCTAATGACCAAACTCAAATATTGTCTTTGTACGTTTTCGTGAACAAATTCAATAAAGACCAAACTGCAAAAAGAAAAATAACAGAAATGTCATTTACGACTTACACAGTATCAGTCAACCTATTTAAAGACAAGGCCGACCTATTCAGGACAACATGATCGACCACATATATTATTTTAAAAAAAAAGAATAATTATCTTACTTGTCTCATTTCGTGTCTCCAGCCTTCTCTTTAATAACATAAAACAAGTCTTCAACTGTATTTTGCAGATTTTATAAATTCTTCTAGGCCCTCCACTTTCATGACCTACAACTCACAGTTAAAATTAAAGCTACATATGAAAACAAACACACAAATCAGTGTTAAAATTAAAGCTACACATGAAAACAAACACACATTCTCAATTTAATAGATCAATATGTAACGTAAACTTACTACGTGCTTTTCGAAAGGACTCTTAAATTCATTCTCGTCGCTATCATCAGCACTAAGTAATCATTTTCTTACTAAATGATTCTTTGTGGAACGGTGTATAAGTCACTTTCATATCGAGATTTTTTGTGCATAGGAGATGAACCATTGCTGCCAAACATTATTTCACTAAGTCAATCATATAAACAAAACAAATTAGCACTAATGATGACCAAATTCTTCCAGTTGCAAGATTACCTTGAGAGCATTAGAAATGGAGACCAAATTCTTCCAGTTGCAAGATTACCTTGAGAGCATTAGAAATGGAGCTCACCAGAATGATCTTGGGCTTCAAGTTAGTCCCATCAGCATCCAATCCCCATAGAAGCAGTTAAGGAAACATGAGGTAAAGCAACACATAATGAAGTAACCCTAGAACAGCCAGCAATTTGAAAGCAAAAAATCGAGAAGACTGTAGACCCCTGCATCAAGAATTCCCCTGCATCAAGTTACATTCATACATTCATTAACAGCAAGTCAATTCAGGTTTACACTCATTAAGAGCAATTCACAATTAGAGCAAATCATTCGAGTTACCATTCTTACACAAGATATTCTGGTTGTATGCTGCTGCTAGGAAGAGACAACGGAAATGAGAATAAACTCACCAAGACTAATGCACTGCACCAATGCTATTCAGCTTGACAATAAACTCGTCAAATGGCAGAGGTATCAGCTTCCAAATTGCTAAAAGGAAATGAGAATCAACATTAAAAGCTCTAATTTTTACAAAGAACACAGAAAGTAGAAAGAAAAATATCAAAAGAGTTCGAAAGAACTAATCTAAGAGTTTGAGGTTGTGGAAATTACTCTGCTGGTTCCACAGAAAGTTAAACTTTTACCCTGAGAATCATTGGGGAATTGGAGTGATAATGCAATCTAGTGGCCCCCAGCGTCTTGGAAACCTCATGAGCACTCTTGAAAGCAGTAAAGAAATTATTGTTGAGCTCCCCAAATAGGTGCATTAAGCTCATGACTTCCATCATTCTCCTCCCTGGCTCATCCCCCACAACGGCCTTCTTAGAGGGCAAATCCCATTCTGCTTCTAGCACTCCAGCTTTACCCCCAATGCCAGCTACTGCTGCTCTTCAATCCTACAATATTACTGCTTTGGACCACTCTCCGAAATTCGCAAAACTTTTGATACCTCACCGTATATGTGGATTAACAATCGTCTCAACCCCACTGCCACCGCGGTTACCACCAGCGTCCCCTGTCCCTGCTACCACCAGTCCACCACCAGCTTGTCACAGCCGATAAACAGCTTCCTAGACTTGTCTGGCAGCTTGCCGCAGCTTGAGAATTACCTGTCAACGCTAGCATGGTTGGAGGAGCTTCACTGCCGTTCCCTTTCTCTCCCTCTGCTACATCCTCCCCTTTCCCTCCCAACCCATTTCCCAAATGCTCATGAATTCACTTTTTGCCAGCGCCTCTCAGAATCTAAGATAACTTCCCCTCCAAACAATCCTGCCATCAGAGCTTCGTCTGGACTCTCTTCACTAAGCAGCTACACTTTCCTGGGCAGATTATCGCAAATCCTGTCCAGCATTTCCTTCCATTTTGACGAAAGTAAGATCCCAGAAAGCAGTGGCAGTGCCTCGAGAGCTGGCGCTTTGGTTTCGTCTGATTTTTGTACAATGTGGCCAGCAGGAGAGAGAAAAGAGAACATGACCAGTAGGCGAGAAAGGAGAGAACACGGTTTCTCTGAAAGAGTACAGATAAGAGAGTAAAAGCTAACTAAATGGATAGTATTTAGTTCCAATTGAACAGGAAGTAGGAAAAGCAAAGAGATGCAAGCTGCTAAAAGATAAAATATGCTACAGTGACTCTAGTTGTGTCCTGCTATTATATTTTCTATAATTACGATTTTTATTGTGAACTGTTCTTAGTGATGTATACCATGAATCATAAGCGAGTATTATTAACTGTAGATGTATAATTCTCAGGACTCAACATATAAATGGCAGCAGCTACAAGGACGCAACCCATTCGCTTCATGGGAAACTTTAACAGATTTACAACCTTAGGCACAAAAATGCTCTAAGAAAGTTGTGATCTAGAAAAATGCTCTTTAATTTTGTTTCTATTCACTGGCAGAAACAATTGACAATAATGAGAAACTTTGAGACTGACTAACCAGTCTTTTATACCCAGGAGTGATGCAGTGTTGTTGTCCTCACTTCTAAAAGACTTAAGAGGGATCTCTCTATACCACCACAATCATCATCCTTCAACAACTCCTCGAATTGCTTGTACTCAATCTCCTGCACTATTTTCGATACAAGAAAATGTTAAAGGCAGGTCTGACAGTAGTTCTTACAAAGTACGGACGTTAATCAGTGAGACTAATATACAAACTTTGACATATCTTACGGTGAGATGGAGGGCCATGGTATTTGCAGCAGCCTTGAATGCATCAATGAGGTGATGTTCTTGACGATCAGTTTTTGCCTCCAGAAATTCAAAGTCTCTTGTCTCGTCATACTCCTGCAAGAATCAAGCCTAGGAACAGAAGCTGGAGGTTTGTTGATCATCCTGAAACCATCCTAAGTTTCCAGGGTTGCAATCCCCATGTTGATTATCAAAGTGCTTCACGAGGATAAGATGCTGAACTGGCAGCAATCCATTTGAGAGATCCATACACAAGGCGATGGTCTAAGAAAGAAGCATTGGCAAACTACTAATACAACCAACCCTCCAGCTAACTTGTACTAGCAGAAGATGGGCATTCATCTACACAAGCCTTTTCTACTTCCTTTCCTCTATAATACCAGATGGGTAACACAACACTTTTGACTGGTAGAAGATGAAACCAAGGGGTTAAGGAAATTGATCGCTTAGAATACCCAACAACAAAGGTTTGCACCGAGAACTCAGATGGAAGACAAGCATTATCAAAGCAACATTCACCGTTGTCAACAATATGTATACAAAGTAAATGTTCTACAACGGTATGTAACTAAGACAGCATCGTCTCAAACAAAGAAAAGAGGGAAAGCTGCATGTATGATCAGAAGGCAGAGCTTCCCTATTGGATGCTTTTCCAAAGCTCAGGAGTTGATCCGAAGGGACTTGATCTTGAAACGGTATCTGGGTGCCCTAGGGATGACCTGGCTGGGACCCATATGGAACTGGCCGGTGCCGCCGGTGAGAGGAGGGCCGTCGTCGTAGATGTAGCCGACGAGGTAACCGCAGTGGTTGCACTTGATCTTGGTCCGACGCCTCTGGATTCCCCAGTAATTAAGGGTCTCGAAGAAGGGCCTGAGTTTGTCCTCCTTCTCGAAATTAAATTTGGCGGTGTCGATGGTGGAGAAAGAGAGGGAGCCCTTGTTGCCGGCCTCGAAGAAGAAGTCCGGCGGGTAGAGGTGGTCGGAGCTGAGATTGAGGTCGGCTCCGCACTCTGCGCAGCCGTACACAGAGGTCATCATCTCACCCCCTATTCTGGATCAGGCGTGGCGTGCGACTGCGAGAGAGAGGGTACGGTGCGATTATATACCAATTTAATTCATATATATTTTTATTTTCCGCCGCTGGCTGGCTGGCTGGGCTGGTGGCGGGCTACTAGAATAGAATGAGAGAAATTTCCACAACCACGACGCGTCGTCTTGAAATTGGAACTTCCCACGTCGTCGTGGCCTTGTGTTTTTCCTGATCGAGATCGAAGATGCACAAAGTTAGAGGATTGATGGGCTTTAAAAGCCAGCTGTATTCCCCAATTCGCAAATACAATCAAAATCGAGTCGTATTCACGAGCTGAAAAATCCAACCTCCAAACTCTCTCCTTTCTCTTCTTTGTAGAGTTTGATAACGCGGAATTGAAACGATCACAGAACACAAGAGTTTTACGTGGTATCTTTGATCGATTAATTGATCGAGACTAATCTACGGTGAGCTCGGAAGAGCTCACGGCTGACGTTTTATTATTTGAGGACTACATCTTGACGGCTTGCTTACGACATGACCGTAGCTAAGCTTTTATAGATATAGACTTAGTGTTAAAACCCTAATGACAACCAAGTTTCCTTCTTTTACTTGAACAAGGAAAACTAGGGACTTGTAGGACAAGGAATTAATTACTTTTTGACTAAGTAATTAATATCTTCAACACTCCCCCTCAAGCGAAGACATGAATGACAAGAATGTCGAGCTTGAAACTGAACAACACTCAAACAACCTCTTGCTGGCAATGACGATCCAACATGCTGTGACTTTGTTCCCTTGCGGGAGATGAAGACAAATGATGAAACTACTCCATGCTTGACCCAGTTCTTTTGACAGTGAACTCAACATGGTGAAATTCCTTGACGTCTTGGATGAGACTGATCCGACTTCATGCTTGACCTAGTTCAACAATAGTGAACTCCACATGGCGGAATTACCTTGACGTCTTGGATGAGACTGGAGACTGGAGACTGATGAATGGGTTGCTGACTTTGGAGACTTCTAGCTGCACTACTGATTGTGCTTCTCCGAGCAACCTGACTGATCGATAGACGTGGTCGACTTGATGACTGAACTAGTCGACCTACGTGTGATGATACCCTATTCTCCCCCTCAAGTTGGAGCATGAACGTAGTGAATGCCCAACTTGAAAGTTAAAATGGTGAAGACTGAAATTTACCTGAATACTGAGGGGACAATCGCTTCTTAGATTGTGACTATCTCAATGTACGACTGGACAAACTTCGATGGCGAACGCCGTTGTATCTTCCCAACACCAACTACCGCCGCCGCTACACGATTGTCTTCAACGCCATGGTATTGGTGAAGATTTGCCTTCTCAAACTGAATTGACTTTGCAACAGGGAGTGACCTTGATTTTTTTTTTTTTAAGACTGAATCAGACCGAATCTTTCAATAAGCCCTTTGAAGAAGACGACCAAACTTGTAACCATGTGGAAAGGTTTGCCTCGGGGCAATGATATTATTCATTTATTTGGATATCCTCTTCTCAATCCAAGTGTACGTGGTGCCGAAAGTCCACTACCACTATGGTGAACACCTCTCCGAGACTGATTTGGACGACCGGACCAAAGGGCTGGTCGTGAGTGCTTGATGAATATGACCGGGCTACAACGATGACAATGCTTCTCGACAAAACAGTGGGACTGTAGCCGGAACTTTGAGCTTCACAAGCAGCTAGCGACAATAACAACCGAAGTTCGAAGAGCATAATTGGGGTTTCTACTGGGCAGGGTCTTTGGGAACTTGATAGCTGGGTAGAAGTGACTGGACGACACCGAAAACTTGGGAAGATTTGACCTTGAACCTATGGCGTCGATGCTACCACGGAGAGGCTTGGGCAGATTTGACCTTGAACCGATGGCGTCGATGCTACCACGGAGAGGCAACGGATCCGACGTAGGTAACTCAAAACCCTTGACTGGTCGACGGTTATGATGACGAATAGACGACGATGACGATGAGAGTTTGATAACGCGGAATTGAAACGAACACAAGAGTTTTACGTGGTATCCTTGATCGATTGATTGATCGAGACTAATCCACGGTGAGCTCAGAAGAGCTCACGGCTGAATTTTTATTATTTGAGGACTACATCTTGACGGCTTGCTTACGACATGACCGTAGCTAAGCTTTTATAGATATAGACTTAGGGCTAAAACCCTAATGACAACCAAGTTTCCTTCTTTTACTTGAACAAGGAAAACTAGGGACTTGTAGGACAAGGAATTAATTACTTTTTGACTAAGTAATTAATATCCTCAACATCTCTCTCCTCGGTTTACCATTGGTTCTGTTTTCTCACGCGTTTTTTTCCGGTGGTGTTGTAGAGTGCAGTCGTCTTCACTTCGTCCAGCCTGAGGTGTCTGTTGGGGTACTCATTCTCTCATGCCTGTGCGAAAAGAAGGAACAGAGAAGGCAAACAACCGATCACTTATTGTATGATGAGGGACGTGAAACACAGATGTTAAGAAAATGGGTATGATGGCGGTTGATTTCTATAAAAAAAACTTTTTGGTGAAGCAAACACGGAGGTGATTGAACAGCCTGATGCTTTTTTTTAGCAGCTCTTACGGAATAAACCATCTTATGAGGAGTGGATACTTTGAAAACTGTAGTTACCATAGCAGAAGTTAGATCAGTGTTCCTATCTATGGCTAAAGACAAGGCTCCTGGTCCTGATGAGTTTATAGCAGATTTTTACAAGGCTGATTGGGCTGTGGTTGGGGGAGATGTGGAGAATGCAGTGCTACAATTCTTTCATTCTGGGGTCTTGCCTCATAAGCTAAACTCTACTATCCTGACCCTGATTCCAAAAATTGCTAATGTGCAAAAAAAAATTGAAGGATTTTAGGCTCATTTCTTGTTGTAACGTGCTTTATAAGGGTATAACTAAAATTCTTGCCAATAGACTAGCCAAAGTCCTTCCATCTAGGGGTGGGATTCGGTACGCCGGTAAACGGTTTACCGTTTTACCGAACCGTTTACCGGCGGTATCGGCGGTCGAGCGGCGAATTGGGTGGGTCGGTATACCGAAACCGGTATCGGTAAATACCGACGGTAAATCTGTAATACCGAATACCGAACCCAACCCTTCCTGTTGTGCCCTATCCATCTGCTACATTCCAATACCCAGTCTTCCCTTTCGGAAACAACTTCTCTCTACCATCAGCTGCATTTTCGGCGACTTCTACCCCGGCTCCGACGCCACCCACCTCTTCCAACTCCTTTGGTTTGTGTTGGTTCATTTTGCTTTCCTGAACTTGTTCCGAGATACAGCTTCGTCAAATTGGGATCTCGGGGAGGAAAGATTCGCGTCGATGTCGGCCAGCTTGGCCCTGACGTTGTCGACGGTCTCGTGGTCCGGGCGCTCGACTCCGCCGCCGTCTCTGTATCCTCTTCGAATAGTGTATTGTTTCCGTTCTGTTGTACGATTTCCCCGGTAGCTTCTTCTTCTCCGCCGGGTGAACAGCTTTGGCCGTCTCGTTCTTCTTCCATCGGTTCCCGCGATATCGGCGTCCCTGTCGTCGGCCGTGCTCGCGAGAAACACCTTCTCTCTACCGCCGACGGCCCCGCTTCCCGCCTCCACCTTCCCGCTTCCCCGCCGATGGCGACCTGGCCCTGAAACCCTCTTCCTTCCCTCGGCGACTTGGAGGTAAGGCAGAAACCCAAATATCCCCGCCGACACATACAAATACTGGCTAGAGATCATGGATAGCATTACCTTACTTCCCGGTTGAAAAAACCAGGTAGAGATCATCCACCGTACGTTTGTAGTAGTTGCTGATTGTTGGAAACATGAAGTAAATGGAATTCTGAGTAAAGTTTGGATAATTGATTGTTGAAATAAATTAATGGATTTGTTAAGAATGCATGGTTGTGAATTCTGATCGATGATTTGTCAAAATATTTGTTAAAAAAAACCAAATTACTCACTTTCACAAAGAAATGAACAAAAAATAGGAACAAATTGGCAAATGGTGAAATGATACAGCAATTCATGCTCCTGGTATTTAGCAATGCACTATGTGGGTCTTCCTTCCCTCAGCGACTTGGAGGTAAGGCAGAAACCCAAATATCCCCGCCGACGGCGACCCGGAAAACCACCCCACGTCGTCCTTTGCGGTAATTCGGTAAACCGGTTTGTAACCGTTTACCGGTAATTCGGTAATCGGTAAACCGGTTACAAATTGGTATCGGTAAACGGTAAACAGTTTGGCAACCCTCGGTATACCGAAACCGGTAAATTCGGTAAACGGTTTACCGTTTACCGACCGATTCCCACCCCTACTTCCATCTCTCATTAGTAAATCACAGGAAGCTTTTGTGAAAGGTAGATTCATAGGGGATAACTTCCTAATGGCTTCTGAATTGGGTAAGGACTACACTAAAACATCTATTGTCTCCTAGATGTCTCGCTAAAATTGATCTTATGAAGGCATTTGATTCTGTGGACTGGAGATTCTTATTTAAAACTATGTTGGTGATGGGAATACCTTCTGAGTTTGTGAATCAGGTCAGAATTTGTGTTTCTTTCCCAATGTTTAGTGTTGCTTTGAATGGGGGGTTTGTGTGGCTATTTTGATGGAGGTAAGGGTTTGAGACAAGGTGATCCCCTGTCTCCTTACCTGTTCACAATAGCAATGGAAATCTTTTCTTGTCTACTGCATAGAGCTACTAATACAGGAGTTTTGCAATATCATCCTCGCGACAAATCGTTGAATATAACTTATTTATGCTTTGCTGATGATCTCCTTGTGTTTTCAAATGGGTCTGAGTTTTCTATGGATAGAATTAAGAATATTTTGACTGAGTTCTATAAACTATATGGGTTAAAATTCAATCCTGACAAAATTCGGATATTCTTTGGAGGTAAAAGAGAGGAGGATCAGAAACTTATTGCAGATCGAACTAGGTTTCCTCTTTGTTCTTTCCCAATTAAGTACCTGGGAGTTCAATTTCTGGCAGGGAAGTTATCCAAACCCAGATTGTGCATTATTGGTTGAGAAGATAACAGCTCGTATCAGAGGATGGAAAGCATTGCTGCTCAGTTATGCAGGACGCATTCAGCTGATTTCGTCAGTTATTTC